CAGTTCCGCTCCGCTCTGTTCGGCTCTTGCGGAGCCACTCTCCATTAACAAAATCAAAATGTTTCACAGAAAAAAAAATACAAAACTTCAACGTTTTGATATAAGAAGGTGACAAATAATACATTTTTTTAGTGTGACAATTTAAACTTGGCATATTAATATATATATACATTAATTCGTGATTCTTTTAAGAATGAGTGAATTTTAATTAGTGATCGGTGGGTGCATTTGTAACATTTTATAGTAAAAATCATCCAGTTTGCATTACATATCCTATTGTAACATGATGTTTCCACTTGCATTTTTGTAAAACAAACATTTGGATATCAATAAACAGACTGTTATGAATATTTTTATCAAAAAAAATTTTTTTTTGTTCAAGCCATTTTTGCACTATTTCAATCTTGATTGGGGATTATGGGTATAAAATCAACATAATACAAAATAATGGTTTGTCCAATTCTTTCTCAGCTGATTCTTTTTTATGTTCTCTACTAAAATGTGTTACTCATTTGCATCCAACTTACCTTCTTCTACTCTTTGTTTTAGATCTGTAAACATTTCTTATCTACATTTCTGACAAAAAATAGGCTCTTAGAAGTTGTTTTACTTGTTCAGACATGCATCCACTTCTACTATGTTTTCCAAAAAAATTTTCCATGGAGAGCCCAACCCAGTTCAAAGTAATTCATTTTAAAATTAAAAATTTTTAATTTAACATCTAGAAAATATTTATTATATTAAATTTTTTCTCTATAATGGACCATTTGGTTTAGGAAAAAATGTCCATAGACAATAAATTGGGCTTAAATTTTCAGTACATTATAAAGAGTGGACTGTAGAGAGAACCTGTTATAGACAATAATAATTTATATATAAACATGTAAATTGGGCTTTCCATCATTATTACATCAATTATATATAAAGTGTGAACTGTGTCTAATTCATTTTTTTAACTGATTTCATCTTCATTCCCAGGCATCATTATATGGCATTTTTCGTTTTGTATATTTCAATTAATATTGGATAGTACATTGTTCAACAATGCAAGGGAGGATATAAGAAAAATATTTATTTAACATATATAGGGTTTCTTCTCTAATCTGCTTTCATAATGTAAATGAGGAATGATTGAACCTAATGAAATTAAATTTTACTATTAATAAGGGTTGGTTTAATTTTTTAAAAATCGGTTGGAGATTATTGAGATATATGGATGCTTTTCTAGCAAAAAAGGGTTTTGACCTCATATGACCAAAAAAAATTTTTTTACATAATATTGATCTATAACATAAAGATTATAATTGGCAAAAATATTAGACCCTGTTTGCTTAATAAAAA